TCTATTTTTAAAGTACAACTTAAAAATATTAATATAATACTTAGTAATTTCAATATTTAAAGTTTACCGAATTGAAAAACATGGAATACATTGAAAAGCAACTCCCATGTCCTAATCCACAACGACAATCATGACCTAAAATGAGACAAACTTGTGCGTTTTTGTTTGCAGGAAAAAAGAAAAGGAATTACCACCGGTTTGCGCATAGCTTGGCTTATAAGTTTGAAGGAAAAAGGTTGGAATTTTCACATCCCTTTTACGAGACTCCACGAGTGGACTTGTGCAGTTGTTCTGCAAAATTTTTTAAAAATAGAGTTTATTATTTTACTATTTATAATAATTTAAATTATAAAATATTTTTTTATTAAAAATAAAAGAATGGTAAGTAAATGTGGGAGATGGGAGAAAATATATATATATATATATATATATATATAAGAGGAAAAGTCCATGCATTTTAGATTGAGCATCTATTTAGTATTGATTGTATTGATTAACATTCTTTTTTAAGGGTTGTCTAATTTGTGTTATAAGAGTATGAGTTAAGTTTTATTAATTATAGAATCTATTAATTTAATATAAAATTTTATATTAAATTCATATCTTTTTATAAATTTTAAATGCAAGTATTATATTATATTTTAATTTTATATATTATTTTAATTAAATTTGATATAAAAATTTATGTAAAATAAATTTAAATGCTATATTGAATGAGGTTTAAGGTAAAACTTAAAAAATTCATTCTTTTCTAAAAACGGAGCAGTTTAAATCCTTATTCAAATCTAAATATAAGAAATAGTTATCTTCTTTTTCTTTAGTCATAAATTCATTTTGTTCTAGACAAAGGTGCACTGCTCAGTACTTGCAATCCTGTGGTGTGGACTGATTTGCACCTTTTGCCTTTTATTCCCTTTAAGATTAAAAGTTAAGCAAGTGCATATTTAGCTTAACTTTTGAAAAATGATCTTTTACCATAAAAGTTGAGGTTAAAAGTAAATGAAGTTTCTTAAAAGACACTACTTCAAACCTTTATCGGAAATTGGAGGCACAATATTTTCTTCTGGCCTTGTTGGATGTACAATTTATGAATTTAAGCTCTAGAAAAGTTATTTTTACTAAAGGTTTAAAATTTTATTAATTTTAATAATTAATTCATTATTCAACTTTTTGGTAAAAATTATACTCAATTGACATATAAAAGTTAGAATTAATGAAGACAAACAAGCTCTATTAATTTTAGATGAAGTACCCCTTATCCTTATCAAGTATTTAACATCGTTTCTGAATAAGACTTGACCAAAAGGAACTATATATGTGCAAAGAAATCTGTTTAACTCTCATTTTTCTTTACTTGTTTTCTTTGTATTTGTTCCCATTTTCCATATTTTCCCT